AAAATAAGAAGCCACTAAACACTAACACTGACAAGACTCAAATTTGTAACATAAAATATGAATTTTAAATTTTTTCCAACTGAAAAAACTGAGTTCTGAGCAGCTGAAGTACTAGACATTTAAATTATTTGTACTACAAAGAGTTAATACAAGCTGATGGTCAAGAAATCATCTCTCCAGTTTAGCTGTTTTTTTTTAATAGGTTTTTCACTATGCATCACAGTATTTTCCACTGGAGGATAAGGAACGTGCCTCTGGCTCCAGCACATCACTTGACTCAGTGTCTCCCTCCTTGCTTCTGCTTTTGATTGTGTGATCCCCAGTATGGACAACCTGTCCTGAAGTGTCTCTACTCTACTCAAATAAGGCAGAAGTTCAAATGAATTTGTCCCCCCTTCCTTTTTCCTCACCCAGAGCTGGGTCACTCGTCACATCACCCACAGCAGTGACAGACAGACCAGCACTGCCACCTCTGTGCTTTGGAGACAAACCCCTCACAGCTCACCCTCCACACACAGAGAGGCTCAGTTCTCAGGCAGGTTCTCACCAGCAAATGTTACAGGAAAATGCAACTATAGGGTTTGAATATGTTATGAATTTATAAAAATAAATTTAAAATTGGTATAAACCACACATGAGCTGCGGATTGACCTGGTTTTGTTTCGAAAATCATGACTGATGGAACCTCCTTGCCCACAGCATTCCAGCAGCTACTTACTCATCAATGGCAATTTCAGAAGGTATCTCAGACCACAGCCGAGCGTATTTCACTGGGGTCACCTGCTCCTGGGGGTCACGATCCACGTGCATGTGCAGCATCAGCCGGCAGAAGGACGCCCGCAGGTCGTAGGGCAAGTTCTCATCAGACATGCAGCGCAGGATGAGGTCCACGTCCAGCTGGCCAGATATCTCATTGATGGCCAAGTACTGGCGATCAAGGCACATTCTAGCAAAGAGGTTTAATTGGTATCTTCAGGGGGGAAAAAAAAAGAAAAAGAAAAATACATAACCAGATTATACTTAAGTTTCCAGAAGCATCCGCTGGGTATGGCACTGATGTGCTCTTGCACAGAATGGATCTTCTACTTCCCAGTAATACACCCAGACTTACTGTGGAAAGAATAAAGTACTTCTCAAACATTAGTAAAAGGTAAAACAGTAGAAAAACAGAATAAAAAACAGAATAAAAAGATCATATCTTCCCGAGAGTTACACCAAGTTATGCTGTTTATGAAAGAATCCAAGGAATGCTTAAGGCAACTCAGCCTAAATATTGTAGAAGACCAAACAGTTTTTGTTGATGCTCAAGTCACAGCTGTTCACTGAGGCAACAGTGTAAATGGACTGGAGCCATTAAAAATCAGGTATTTGATTAAACTTGTACTGAGCTCTGCTCCCTTCAGTCAAAGAACTGGTAAAGAAAAACTCAACTTAATCCCGAAGCTTTTCAGTTCACAAACTAAAAGCAAGTAACTGGCATTTAAGGCATGCCCAGTCAACAGACTGATAATTAGCCCTCAGCCATAAAGCCCATGTCCAACATTCATGAGTGTGCACCAAGGCTTTTGTTGAAGAGGGTCAACTCTGGAGGTTTCCTAAAAACAAACATTTATTGAAAGCAGATTCCTTTTCACTCTCAGCATTCCTCATGGAAGTTTGACCAAACTGTACCCTAAACCCCCTAAGTTTTTCCTGAAGTCTATAGTTTAGACTAAAAAGAATTAACACTACCAATTTAAAAAAAAAGTGCAAGAAAATCTGTTTTGAAAGAGATATAATCCAAAAAAATATATACAAGAGGTCTCCATTTGAGCTCAGCCCTCCAATAGTCTGAAATAAAACCATATATTAGGAGGTCTACTGCAAGGACAGTTTCAATGGAAAAGGTAACATAAAGGAAGATAGCTATCAAAAAAAAATCTAGTTGTACTTTCTGCATCACCACCATCGAGTCCATCAGACTCCTCTCAGAAGTTTATAACCCAGACATAGGAATTTGGTCTGGGCTGAAACCTGATCTTACACCATGCCAAGAACTTGGTGTCTTGTCAAGTCATCTGGAAACATCGCTTCATGTCAGACTGCTAAAAGCACAGCTTAAGCTGTGCAAAAGAGCACTGCACATTAATCAAACCAAACTTGTGGCACTTTCACAACCACACATATTGTCCTGCTGAGAACTCCGGGATGACTAAAAGCTTTGAGCCTACAGAGAAATTTAGAAGGCAGGGAGAACAGCAGCAACTTCTTTAACATGAAAAGCAAAGCCATCTGCACACTGAAATCCTGTTACTCCTGCAAGTGGCTGTTCACCCCAACTACCATCTCAATACAGGTAAACTCAGTTTAACAGAGGCTCTCCCATAACACCCACTTATTAGGAAACCAAACAGAAATACAGGCATTCAATCTTGTGCCAATTCAACGTGCTCTAAGCCTCAACTGCTTGTTTAAAAATACAGTTTAAACTTGCTTATGCTGGTAATTGGACTTCTCCTTATGAATAACTTTGTGCTTTTAGCTCTCATTTCAAAAACACTTCATCCCCTCTCACTAATGGCTATTTTGTCCACAAAGCCAGAATCTTCTCTCCCAAACCAACTCCAGCCTAGCTACCAAATGCTTCCCCACACGGTCCTGATGACCTCTGCTAGCCAACTACTGCATGTGCTGTTAACCTGTAGTAGCTGAGCACGTCCCGATCCTCCTTCTGCCCCTCCTTAGCATCTTGAGCCAACTCTCTGATACTCTTACTGCGGATTTCCTTGTTACTGTCTCTCCAGAACAACCACACTTCTTCCTCATCTTCTCCAACTTCCAAGGCATTTTCTCCACTTGACACTTCTTCAAACTCAAACCGAGAGAGGACCAACCTGCCAGAAGGAAGTTGGGTTAGATACAAACTGCCAAGACGCATGCAGATATTTCAGAACATCATTTTTTTTAAGATGCTTGCTGAAATGTGTTGTTGATCTAGAAGTAATTAATTTTGTGATCTCACCTGCATTCAGAAGATACAAGTGTTATTGCTCAACACTGAACTAAAAGCAGAGTATCTTACTCTTTCAGAAGTGGTTTATTGCATAAAATCTCTGGGTTTAATATTCAAATCATTAAGTTAGAATGACTTTAGATTATAGCTTTCTATTCAGACTTAGAAAGATCAACATTTCAGCACCATTCAATTGATGAATATAAAGAAACAGGAAGTTAAAGAAATGTCTAACTGGCTTTCAAAAACACCTTTACAGGAGTACTGGTTCAAACATCATTCAACAGACAAGGAAAGGATTTGGTAAACAGAAATATCTAAAAATTGATTGTTTCTGTATCATAAACACCAACTGGATGAGAACTTTCTGCTTACAAAGTGAAATAACTAGAAATCAATCAGCTACTAAAACTAAAAAGGCTTTGTGGGCTTTTAGCTTTTGAGAAGAGAAATCATACATCTGAAAAAAAGACAAATTAAATACGCAAGGATAAGAAAAAATAAGTTAAGTAGCAACTTAGAAACTATTTCCACCAGCACTTAATGATTTCATGAAGAGAATTAAATGTGCAAGAATATTCCCATCCATTTGTGTTTTAAATACTATGTGACTGACCTGCTTCCCTTTTATGGTATTTTGATAATGATTATTTATGTTCTATTCTACCAACCAGATAAAGCCATCTATGAAAGACAGCTGGGATTTGGTGCCTGCTATGAAGCTTCAGCAATGGCAGGGGAATGCTGAGAGCAGGGTGAGCAGGGATGCATCAGCTTCTGCTTTGCTGCAGGCTGAGCTCAGAGGGACATACCCAAAAAGCATTTGCTTGCATGAGCTTATGGAGGAAAGCCTCAAGCCCAGAGGAGCATCAGGCCTACAAGACTCTCCACACCTTCCTGTACAGTCTCTTTACTTTGATCAAACGTGAGATATCTGAAAGATTTCCCAACTGCAGGACTGGGAATGCACGTGGCAGATGTCTGCTGTCATCAATCCCCATTTACTGTGCATTTGGAGAGGCCCCTTAACTGCTTTCTCTAGACATGCCAGCAGTGCTTGCAGCTTTGAATCACCTTCCTTCTGTTTCATGCTAGGAAAACCATCTCTAACAGCATTAACTTACTTGGTCTCAATGAGAATGTCTGCGTTTGCTGGATTCAGCACAGCTTTACAAATCAGCTCCTGTGTCACTGGAATAGACTTGTTCATGGAAACGCACAGATCCGAGAGGTAATCCAAAAACCTGGTGGGAAACGTGAGCCAAAGGGGCATCAATCCTTGTTGAGATCTAGACTGAAGCAGTCTACATTTCAGACAGAAAACATCCAGAACTCCACTTGAACACTGCAGAGCCAGACTGCCGCCCGAGGGGGAAGCTGCAGCGAGTGCCAAAGAGAAGGGAACTAGCTGTGCCTCCTTAGGAGCAACTTGGTGGGTACAGATTTTTCTCAGAAGGCTAAGAGAAAAAAGGGAATCCAACACCCAAAAATGCAGATCTCACCTGGGCTCCCTGTTTTTCCTCACGAGACTGACAAAGGTGTCAATCTCAGCAGCTGTGATGTGCTTCTCCAAGAGCTTGCGGTTGTTATGAAGCAGAGCTGTGATGGTGTCCTCGGCCAAGACATCATAACCAATTTGTTTCTGCATGAAGCCAAACTGCTTTGCAATGTATTCCTTCAAAACACAGGGGGAAGGTGGAAGGTGTGGCCATTAATCCTCAGAATTTAAGCAAAAGCTCAGTAATAGAAAGCAGTAAGGTGTTCAGCAATATCAACCCCCAAGAAGAGAACTGGATTAGATTCCAACTGTTCTTCTGAGAGAAAACAAATCAAGGCAGAAAACCTCAACACCTCCCCTCCATCCCAGGTAGACACCACCAAGACATCCTTGTCTGATGAGCTTGGTTTCAATTAATGGCAACAAGAGATGAACAGCCTTAATTCACAGGTCAGCTTTCAGTAGCAGTACGTGAGAGTGAAGAAAGTCTTACAATTCACCTGGATTTGGCAATAATTCCATTTTCTTAAATTCCCCTTAGAACTGGTATTAATGAAGCTGCATATAGCCTCTGACAGATGAAAAATGCCAGAGTGAAGCTGAGCAATATAAAAACCTCTTGCTGACTGGACAATGACAGCACAGCAGCGTTTAATTAATGGGATGCAGCTTTTCTATCGTTTTTGGAGTACAGGAACAACACTGGTGACACTGAAAGGTATTCAAACGTATTTCCAACCTGATTCTTTCTGTAATCCTGCTGGGAGTGTCTCAGCACCCTGTAGCAGAGCCTGCAGATGTGCCTGAAGGGAGCATGACGCTGGTCCCCGAGCTCCTCCAGCCGCAGCATCGGCCCGTCGCCGCTGTCCGTAAACGGGGCTTGTAACAGCTTGAAAATCTGATGGATGAGAAAAGAGATAAAATCCCCTGAGACACTGCCATCCTGTGATGAAAACAGTGCAGAAGAACTGTGTCGGTGTCTTTAAGTTTCTAAAACTACACTAGAGTAGTCAAGTTTGCTTCTTTGCCAGAGAGCAGCCTGGAGAGAATCATAGACCCATTAAGGTTGGAAAAGACCTCCAAGATCTTCAAGACCAACTATCAAACCAACACTCCCATGACCACTAAACCATGTCCCCAGGTGCCATGTCTACATGTTTTTTGAACCCCTCCAGGGATGGTGACTCCACTACCTCCCTGGGCAGCCTGGGCCAATGCCTCACCACTCTGCCAGGAAAGAAACTCTTCTGAATATGCAATTAAAACATCCCCGGGGCAGCTTCAGCCCATTGCCTCCTGTTCTATCACTGGTTACTTGGGAGAGGAGACCAACACCCACCTCACTACAGCCTCCTGCCAGGAAGTTGCAGAGAGCCAGGAGGTCTCCCCTCAGCCTCCTCTTCTCCAGGCTAAATCCCAGTTCCCTCAGCTGCTCCTCAGAGTACACGTTCTCCAGACCCCTCACTAACTTCCTTGCCCTTCTCTGGACACCACTCCAGACTCTCAAGATCTTAGTGGTACCCAAAACTGACCCCAGTACTTGAGCTGTGGCCTCCCCAGTGCTGAGTACAGGGGCAAGATGTTGTTGATCAGCTTTATTCAACCCCATATTCTGCAGTTTACTCTAGCAATGGTACGTCCACAGTCCACTGCCGAGAGCCTGCTGAAAGCTACAAACTCAATGGATCTCTTGGCCCCAATAATTTGGCCAGATTCTCTTAGTTTCTCTTTTTTGACAACCCTCCTTGTAGGTAGAGCTTAGAGGAAAAAAATGCAGCCTACCTGCTTTAGAATGTTTTGTTCTCTCATCAGTTTTTGCCGCTCTCTGTTAGGTTTAGAAAATACCACTTCAAGGACATCTTGCCCAGAATTAGTTCCACCAGTAACAAAGTAGACCAAATCCTCCAACAATTTGGTAACAGATCTGTGGAAAAGCCAGAAGCTGTTAATACAGGACTACAAATTCCATTAAAAGACAATGCCAGTGTAAGTTTATATTGATTTCAGAGTGCTAAGTGACAAAAGAGCCTCAATTAGAGACTGACTTTGATGCTGGGTGAAGCACATAGCTTGTACAGAAATTAAAATGCAGAACTAATGCTCTGGTGCTGCAGCCTTACTATCAAACAGCTAACCCACAGCAGCAGTAAAACCATATCACTTCAGGGCAACTATAGACTTGCCAAATTCTATTTGACAGGTCTTCAAATTGTCAGGAAAAAAAGAAATTAAAAAATGAGGTGATAATTTCTCCAAATAAAAGGCCCTGGCTATAGAAGCAGAAGTGCCCTGGTTTTCCACAGCTCTTTGTGTGGCCACATACTTCCCACGGACACTGTCAGAGGATTTGCACAAGTCATATGTGCAGCCTTCACAGGAGGGATTATAAATTCCCACCACCAATTTGCAAAGCCCATCAAGAAAGGTATGCCAGGGATTATTCCCCCAAGTTCACAACAACAGTTCTCATGCTCTCACTTCAGAGTGACAGAACAGGAGGGCTGGACAGAACAGGCTTGAGAACCTCTGCTCTGGACATGTCAACAATAAACCCATCAACTTTTAGTTTTTTTAAATATAATCAAGGAGGAAACAAAATCTTTCTTCTGAAGATAGTGTACATAGTTAAAATTTTCAAAGAAACAGTTATTGAGTAAAGGAGCCAACACTGCCTGAGCCAAATTCTTCTTTCCTTACCTTCTTTCATTCTGGGTTATCGTCCCCTTTTCCAGCTTGCCAGCAATGGAACCTAAAACTTTACTTGCATCATTTGCAAAATCCAAGTCCCGAACCTCTGCAGGGGAAACTGGCACTATAGCAAAAGCCTCTTTGTCCTCTTTCACTGGAGAAGTACCAATCTGAAAGCCAGAGAACTTTTATCAACAAACCAAAGCCAGGTGACAAAGCAGCATTCACAGACTCAGTGATAATAAAAGAGCAGAAGAGCCACACTCCACTTGGACAGTGTGAGCAAGTCCAACTTTGGGACAGAACCACTCTGTGGAAGCTCAAGGCTGCTCCTAAACCCAGAGAAACACCAGGTGAGATTGCAAAATGCTGCTGTAACCAGAGGAAAGCAATCCTCCTCGTGAAGACTGTCATACAGCAGAAGCTGAACAGCATCATTAGTAAACTACCATGAAAATCTAGTCTCAAGGCAGAATATTGTGTGGGCACTACTCATCCCCACTGCACTGCTTGCTGTTTGACAGACCCAGCAGTGCCAAGGGACTGGAACCTCTTCTGCCAGCACCACGTCTGAAGCAGAGGAGTCAAAGGATGTGCTTACATAAGCAGAACTTACCTTCAGCATCACAGGTTTCTCCTCTTCTTTATCAATAGGGATATTGGTACTGTGAACCCAGGTGTTAGTGCAAAGGTGTCTAAGCCTGACATAAGAGTTCCTGAAAAAGTCCAAAATTTCAAAGCATGAGTCAGTTCCCCAGATGGGAAAGCTTCACATTGTTGGAATTGCAAGATGTTGGCAGGAACAAATAGGAAAAGAAGTGTCAGCTTTACCCAGGCTGCATACCATAACAGGAATAAGACTCTTCTGTCCTTCTTTCTTTCTCTAAATTCACCTGAAGAAGTCTTATATAATGAAACAGCTTCTGCTGTAAAACACAAGTATTTCTTTTGCTGTAATTCACGTGCTGTGCAATAGCAAACCAGAAACCTCTTCAAGTCCTCATATGTCCACGTGCCAGAGTGTTTCTGAGCTGCCAGCTTCCTCCCTTACCTTGATATTTTTCAGCCCAAAACTCCTTGGAATCTATTTTATAATTCTTAACTGAGAATTTTTTGGCTTTTTGTACAGCTAGTCCATGTGTACAAGGCCAGCATGCAACTCCCTCTCCCAGAAGCCCCATGGGGACAGCAGGTCCCAGGCTGTTTTCTCAGGTCCTTCTGGCAATGTCAAGCCAGAGTCAGATGAGAATCTCAGGCCAGGATAAAGTCTCTCAAGCTGCAGCACAACCACCTGTCTCCACACAGCTGTGGCAGCCCAAAGGACAGCAGAGGCAGCCAGGACAGTGGCTTTTGGTGGCCTTTTTAAGTTCCCTTAAGTTAATCTAGTCATTCAGAGAGTTGTTTAAAGTGGATCAAACAAATAATGCTGTGCTTCCCTGGTGGGAAGGGACAGAAACGGACCTGCTTGCAGCCTGTCTCTTGGAAGGGTACATACAGCATCTTTTAAGCAGCAAGAGGTACCACATGAAAAATCAAGGTCATGGACACTACAGCAAATGAAGTGCTCAATGTTTGATGCTACATCCTAGCTAGCACAACACAGACCTGTCACAGGAGTGCCTTGATAGGACACCCAAGGCATTCAGTCCCACTCTGCTCATAGCAAGGAAGCCACAGTCTCACTTTTCCCATCTGTAAAACAGTGTTGTGCTACTTACAACTCAGTTGTCAAGTACTGCAGTGAAGCTTCAGCCACTTGCTGAGTATTTCTATGTTAATTTGAGGAAGAACTTTAATTCCAAAGGATATTCCAAAAAATAGAAAAAAAAAAAATAGTGGGAGACTGGTTTATTTCAATAAAAGCAATTTAGAGCTCGCTGACCTGCCAGGCAGTCAGGTCCCAGTGCTGGGCAGTACCTGGGCACAAGGCTGTCTCCTCCTCGCAGGGTGGTGGGGTCCAGCTCGAAGATGGAGGAGATGTCGTTCCCCTCGGGCACGGACACCAGTGAGTATGCCATCTTCTCCTGGGCACTGTGCAAGCCCCTCCTGGAGGCATCCTGCTCAGGGTCCAGCTGGGGAAGAAGTCCCACCACACACAGTCAGAGCAAGGCCTCCAGAACCCCTGCCTACTCTTAAATAGATGTGTCCTGTCCCTAGCAGACAGGGCTCTGAACCACTCCAAGTGCTGGGTAAGACAGCTGGGCTTTAGGACAGTAAAACAGACAAGCAGCTGCTCTTGCCAACCATTTCTTTTTTTTCCTGGGGTTAATCAATTGTGTATTTCTGGATCACAAACACAATAAATCCTAAACCACAGGGGTTATGTCTTGCAGATGGTGTCACGAGAGACTCAGAATCCCCCAGACGTTCACCCCACTGGGAACTCTGACTCAGTTCAGATGACCCTCAGCTGCTAGGATCCCCACTCCTGCACTTCTAGCTCTGGGAAGGTATCTGACATATTGAAATTATCACTGTCAAACTATGGGAGCTGCAAATACAAGAACCAGCAACACTATTTACCAGCAATCTTGCTGGGAAATAATTCATTTCAGCAGCAAAAATGGGACTCCCAGCTATCAGATACAGACAAATGAAACAAAAAAAACTAATCAGGAAGCTGGATGTGTTCTGTTCATGCTACAGCTTATGATGCACTCAGATACAATGACACACTGCAACAGTCATGGCACCAGAAGTATCTTTATTTCCAAGGCGCTAACAAATTACCAGCCACCTTTAGCAAAGTAAAAATACCAACAGAGTAAAAACCTTGGATTTTCAGATGAAAGGACAAAAGGGCAAGAAAAAAAAAACAAGTGGGAGAAGGAACAACTTTGTCTAAAATCTTTCCTAGGGAACTGGTTATCACTAGTCCATAAAGTTGCTAACTGTCTGACACAGCACAGGAGCCAGCTGTCCACGTGTAAACACTTGAATCCCATCATCAGCTCCTCTGGGATCATGGCACCAGTGGAAAGCAGGCACCCAAAGCAGTCAGCACTCAAGTCCCTGTCTTTCAAAGTCCTGCAAGGCACTGCAACCCTTCAGCACACAGCAAAGGTGTCTCATGCTGCTTGTGCCTCGGGATATTCTGTAGCTAGCACATGTGTAGTCAATGAACTTGGCTGCAAAGCAGTGACATTTAAAGTCTGATTCTGCACATGGGAACAGACAGTTAGCTGTATGGAACAGAAATACACATTGGGAGCGTGCCTTCAGGAGAAGAAGCAACTAGACACTCCACAGAGTCCATCTGGAGGCTTTACACCAGGAAAAACTCGCTCACTTGGAATGAATTCTCTGTATTTCAGCTGTCTCCTTCATCCCCACAGTGAGGCAGCTGCTCTGTACTCACAACTTATACATCAGGAGACAACTGGTCAGTTACTGGAACTGTGGTAAAGCCAAAAAAAAGGGTAGTAAATCAGAAATAGGAAATGGGGCGATTTAGAGTGAAGTAAAACTTCAACCCCACATGTTCCATGTTGAAAGGTGCTCACTAGCATCTCACCCATGATTTAAGCACCATTCCTGCAGGGCTCACTGAGGCATAAAAGGAAAACCAGACACCACTGGGCTGTGCACAGAACCTGCTGTCCTGCAGACAGCTCACATTTGGGTCAAGTAAAGCAGCCTAGGCTGTGCTGTCACTGCTGCATGTGAAGGGGTGCTGGAAGTGAATTCTGTGCTCCTGATCCTGTTCTCTGTGGTCTGGTTTTGCCATCTAGTGGTAAAGAGACAGCAGGCAAAGCCCAGGACAACTCTGAAGCCAGTGTGTCATCATCACTGCTGCACTTAGCAGGAGACATTCGTATCACCAGCAGGGTGGGTGTTCACACTATTGACATAAACATCGATTAACTTCCAAAAAATTAAGCTAACAAAGCATTTGAATGTTAGATTCCCCTCAGACAATAGCTTTGTGGGGTTTTCTGTGTATTTTTTTCAGTATGTGTACTGAAGTCAAGCTGTCAGAAGATGCCAAATACCACCAAGAACTAATCAGGGTAACAGCTCAATACCTGGGAGGGGGACAACAGGAAGCATTTTAACAGCCACACTATAATGACAAACCCTTTTAGGGGGAAATATTCATCCTGAAGGATTTTAAAGCATCACAGTGCATGCACCTTCTAAAAAACCCCACAAAAATCATAGTTTTTTCATATATCTGAATGGAGCAAATGTTCCATAATACAGGATAAATGACAAAAAAGATCTGCATAAGCCTACAAACAAATCCCACTAATATCATCCACAAGGGAAAGTGCTTTTCCAGTTTTATCAGTTTTCAACTACTGGAGCAATGCTGCTTCCCTCTGACACCAAAGAGAACTTTCTATTAATACAAAGCACCAGAACACAATCTTTGACACAACAACATACACAGAAAACAACACAGACTTGCTTTCACAGGAAAATCAGAAGAATGGCACTGAAATCCTTCTCACCCTGCCATTCTTGCTCTCTAGACCCTTTATTCTGGCTTTCCTGTGACAAGCTAAAATGAAAGGGAATTAATTTCTTAAAACAAGGAGGTCACTGTTGGCACAGCACTGTGTGAACACCCTGTTAGGGACACTTGCTGAGGTCACCTTGAACAACTTTGTTTTCAGATCTATTCAAGAGAGAGCTTCAAGGAAACCAAGGTTTAAGAAGCAGGAAGACAGGAAGAAAGATGCTACAAAAGGGGGGGGGGGGGGGGGGGGGGCCGGGAACATCTCAACGCTTAGGCCAGGCTTTGCAGGTGGTCCAGGTAATGTAGAAATTTGGTTCCAAGTGCATTGCTTTTCACTACAGCCCAATTCAGGTTTTAACATCCACTCCCCCTGGATCAGCCTTTAAAGCCTGAAATCATTCTCAGGTTTTAGTTTCTTCACTAGCAACAATGCCTGGACCATCAATGCACTGGCCAGGTAAATATCTGGGCCTGTGTCAAGCCCTCAATCAGGGGCAAGGTGATACTCTTGCCTATACTTACTGAGGATTGACACTCCAGCTCATCTTCCTCATAGTCAGGGTTTACCTGATGAAACAGAACCACAGGCACGTCAAAACTCTAACAGAGCTGGAAGTGGGAAACAACCTCAGTGCAGCTTAAACTGGTTTGGTAAAAGAACAGAACAGACTGTGAACAAACTGAGCCCTTCCTCATGGGGCATCTGGCCCCCCAGGAACTAAGCAGTGAAGTCATCTGCAAACACATCCAGAGATGGATCTTGCTCAGGACAAGCACAAAAGGAGCAAGAGGGGTACAGAGGTACCAAGTTTCAGATTTGAGTTTTATGTTTTGGGGTTTTTTTTGTGTGTGTGTGTTTTGTTTTGTTTTTTAAATCCCAAGTGGAATTTCCAACTAGAAATTACTGGCTTGGCAGAAATCTTTTGGAACAAACACTATTCCACCATGGATCAGGTGAGCAATCTCCTCTAGTCTATTTTTGCACAATATAAGACCATGGTTTTGTTTTGGCTGATTAGCAAACCCAAGATTTACTGGAAAAGCTCTCTACTGGATCACTACTGAAAGGGATTTGCAAGTGTGCGTGTGACAAAATGCTGCTGTTTCTCCAATCTGCTTATTAGGAGAACATAAAACTGGATGTTTAATCTGGGCTTTTCCCACTGCAGCTCTCAGGTCACTGGCATGGGCTGAGACAGCCCCTCTGTCCTGCTATGCACTCCTACATCCAGGACAGCTTTACTTACAAGGGTGTATTGGCATGTTGATATATCCATGTTTTAAAGTATATAGAAGCAAATTTAATACACATTTACAAGTGTTAAGCAGCAAAACTCACAGAATTCTAACCATTAGACTTTTTTTTAACTTTTTAAAAAAATAAAATATCTTGAAATCTTATTTCAGCAGGGCAACAATGTCCACCATGGGGAGAGAAAAAGACTGATTTATTTTGTGCTTGGACTGCTAAGTGTTATCTGCAGTCAAAGACTGGTCTAAAACCCAACTACACACTTTTATGTTGCTGCCACTTCTACAATCCTGCTTGGACAACAGTGATTCAAGAGAAACCAACAATAACTGAATTCTTTTTCCCCCAAAGGCTCTCAGTCATTTACAATTTATTTATCTGTTAATAAATTCATCTTGATTCTACTGCCCACATGACATAACATTTAGTGTCTATTCTTTCCAGGAGAACACTTACTGTCTCACACAGAAAGTGAGATAAGCTCAGGACTACCCCTGTACTTTGATATTCTCTCAAGTCTCTTTCACCTTGTTGTCTTGGTTTATCAGTCTACTTTTGTAGTGACACTCAGGACCCAAACACCACTCTCTTCCCCTCCCCTCTGTCTGTTTAGAGCAGGAAACAAGAGATTTTTAGGAGGTGCAAAAGGAAGAAAACAGAGCAGAAGGAAAAGCAGAGCTCTCCAGCAAGCCCCAAGCCCTACCTCTGCTGCTAGGTAGTGTCCAGTAGCAAGGTGCTTGAACCTGAAGAGGCTATTCCAGTACCCTGCACCACCACGACAAGGGTCATGCTGCACCACCTGCAAGGGAAGGGAAACCACATTGACACTGGCAGTGCCCACCCTTTCCAACACAGCATTTACCATATCCCATGTACAGCAGAGAGGAAACAGAACTAGGAGCTCCAGAAAAGATGAAACAACCTTTCCTATGTGAACATCACAACAAATCCTTGGAGCAGACTACAATTAGGTCACCTCAACCATTGACCAACGTTGATTTTCTGCTCCTTGCCAAGTGACAATATCTGTTGGCAAAGTTACTGACCACAGCTGGTGCTCCACTGGAGTCTGGGGGGTGATGGCAGGAAGATTAGGGTGCAAGTTGGCAGAGAAGTAATTAAGAAGGTGCTCTGGATGTGTGTGTGTGTTAAGTCTTGAAACAAACTTCCTAAAGAAACGTCACGAATTCTTTGCCTTTTTGGTAAAACTAATTTTAGATCTTCTGGAAGTGAGAGAGAGAAGACACCTGGAAATATTTCACATGCAACAGCGTGGTACAAAGGAATTTGAAGAGTGTTGTATTTACTCTCTAACTTCTCCTGTGGCAAGCAGAGTCTCTAACACCAGATCACCCATTACTTCATACCAGCTACTCTGTGGGTGCACCCACTCCCTTTGGGAAAAGTCAGTGCAGCTGGGCTGTGCCTTTTGGGGATACACAGACACCTACCACAGCATTGTACCATGTCAAAGTGGTTTTAATTAGAGGCAGGCTTTCAATGCATGTCAAATCAGATACCTCTAGAAAGGTAATATGAAAAACAACTATCCACCATTACAATTCATTTTAATTCCCACAGGCAGTTCACGTGGCAAAGACTTAAAATCAAGAAACAACCCTAATAATGCCAATAGATAGAGAGTATTTTAAGAAGCCAGTGATGGCCAAGGTGTCAGTTGCTATTTAAAAGCTAAGGGAAAAAAAAAGGTCCAGACAAGCCATGCACAGAGACCAGCAAAGGGCTCCAATCTCCTATCCAAGGAGGATATGCATAATCACATTATTCCACACCAAAAATAGAGCTTTGGGTACACTCAGCAGGACAGTTGTAATCATTAGCTGGTGTTAAACTCCAGTGACTGGGAGGAAAATGACTTCATAGCTGCTTCTCTGTCCCCATTTTCTCAGTTGTCAAGAACCATTAGAGACCAGAACTCCTCTTTCATTTTCAACAGAAAGCACAGCAGCTAAAGGAATTTTAAGATTAAATTTCTAACACCAGGAAGACTTATCTCAAAAAAAGAAACCCAGAGACACTGTTGAACAGAAACTGTAATTGTTCCTACGAAGCCACCCTGGGTCACAATCCTTACCTCTACTTCCCACAGGGCCTTGGAGCTGGTGGCAGAGGTGGCTGACTGCCTCCCTGTCGTTCTCAGGAAGACATGCTGCTTCTTCCTGTGCTCATCACACGTCAGAAACTTCTCCTGTTCTGCATGGAACAGCCTCACCACATCCCCCTGTCAAAGCCCAAGGGCACAATCAGTACAGACATTGCCCACCAGCCAAGAAGTTAGAAGGAGGCAGGGTTTTGAGTCTTACCCCTTTGAGAATGTCATCTTTGTTATCACTCCATTTCATGAAGAGGACTATTTTCCAGCTTGTATTGCAATTCACAGAGTTGACCTAAAAGGAGAACTGAAACCATTAGTCCCACTGTCTTCTGCCTGCACAAAACACTGCCATGGCTTTTGAAACAACTGTCATCAGAATACTGCAGTGCCTGTGGCATTAGGGCAGGTCCTGATCAGGCAAGTACTGCTTGACCAAGCTCGTATGACCAGGTGACCCACCCAGTGGATGATGGAAAGGCTG